AAATTTTTCTGCTTCTTCAGCTAGACCTTCAAATTGTTGAAAGCGAAACTTAAAGACGCCGAATGTCGAATGCCGAAAACATTTTGCCGACCATTGGAAAACCACCTCGAAGACCAATTGCCTGGGGTGTGCGGGTGTGAACTTAGCTGTATTGGGCAGTTGGCCAAATGTTTGTAAGTCGGCTAAGCCCCCCGTGTCAATCCGAGCAGCCATCCATCAATCACTCCGCCAATTCCTAATTAGCATGCGATTCATGGGAACAATTGAAAAGTGTTGGTCAAATTTTAAATGTCATGCTCGCACTTGTTTTCGTATTTGGGGGCTGGGGATTATATAGACATTATATGGACTTGTGCTCAAGGGCCCGAAAAGCCCAGAAACGTGAGTCGAATTGCAGAGCGCGAATTCACATTTTACTAAGGTCACTGAATGTTTGTTTTGCAAATGCCGAATTAACGCTTATTATGCGTGTGTGAAAATCATTTTTGTTGCCGACAAAAGTTGAACTTTCCTTTTAGCGGGCCTGTGTGAACAGGAGAACAAGTTCTCGTCCCTGCCACGCCAAAAATCATTATCATCGAAGAAAACCTGATTCCAGACGCGTGTTTCCTGTTCGCAAGGCCTAAAACAAGTTTCCATTTTTTGTTTTCACGAGCATCGCATCGCATCGCATAACTTAATAGCGGCGGGAAACATTCCTTTCCTTTTTGGCCAACACTCTCAAAAAATAATTAAAAACTCTGCTGTGAGATTTATCGAAAAAAGGAGCGCATCGAACCGCATTCCAATCAGGTATCTTAACGATAAGAACGAACATTTGCGGTTCACAAATCGAGTGACTTGCCAACGCCAAAAAGCAGCCAAACCCTTATTCTATTGATGTTGCCATGATATATGTGCGGGCAAAATATAAGTTTCGTGACGAAAGCACTGAAATTGAGTTTGACTTTCGGCAAATCACGTGACATGCCCCGAATATGGAACACCGAAATTTATTTGGCCACATAAACTCCCAATCTATGCAAATAAGTAGAACAAATGCGAATTCATTTTTGAAGGCCTTCCCCTGCTTGGGGAGATTTATGCGTTTTTCATATTGACAACACTCAAACAATAGACTCCCCATCAGTCGCTGGATATTTGCTTTTGCTGCCATGGCAACTGTCGTTTATTACACTTTGATTTTTCGCCCGAAACGCTGTAAGAAATGGCGTTTGAAAAAAAAAACTATGGATGGCTTTAATGGCAAACAGTTTTGTTGTCATCCTGTATTAAAGAGACGCTACCAGCTCTGTTAAAACATAAACATAGTTTCCATTGACCAACTTTTTTATTGCCAGCACTTCTCGGTCATTTCAAAGTTTGTATTGAGCACCAAGCTTCTATTCCAAACTTAGCTACTGATGACAAAGTTACTTACTCACTTCCGGTCTGGAAATTCATAATTAGTTTTAAGCCATAACAATTTTAGTTAAATTGGGAATGTAATAAAAATTTCTCCGCAAATAGCTGCAGCACTTGCAGTGAAAATAATTTTCGCTTTCTGTGCTTTAATTTCACGTCATTTAAATTGGGCTCGACATTACGAGCCAACGCATTTCGCCCATAATCTGAACAATTATGGTATAGGCCAAACCTAATGATAGTCGCCCGGCTGAACAATGTGGTTCGATTTCGAAAGAAAATCGTGCCGCAGCGGCAAATCTCGGCTTTAATTAAGGTTCATTCGACCAAAGTTGGGACAACGCCTCTACACAGAAATGTGCATAGAAGCGATCAAAGATATAGATATGGGCAAATATATAAGGCCCATTCGAGTGGACGGCTTTCGCCTTGTTCATGCAATTTGTATAAGCCCCAAATGATTATTGCCAATAAGTTTGCAGGAAAAAAATAAAGACACGTACAGACAATCCGAAAAACTGGTTGGGGTAGAAAGCCAAAAAAAACCAGGGACACCGCCCAAACTGACCACCACTTTGAGACCCAGTATCTGCGGATGATATGTAACCCAAGTGGCAGACGACATACGCAAACAGGTAAAAGTGATTTGTCTCTCAAAGCCTAAGCAGCCGATCCGAGCAGATATCTGCATATACATGTATGTAGATACAGATACAGATACATAAGCACAGCAATAGTCCAATCGTGTTTTGGGGCATGTTGCGTGAATTGAGTGCCCGCTTCCGACAGCTCGTCATGCAAATGAGCAGGTCGATCCTTATGGGGGAAAACAAGCATCGTAAGCCAACAGGGCACATGGAGAAACTATGTAGCCATATATCATTGAGGTGTTTGGCTTGCAGATATTAAGCCACTTCACTATGGCCCCTTTCATTAATTTATCTACGGATGATGCGTAAATTCATTCATTCATAAGCTGTTTTCAAAGCTATGTTTATATATAGTTGGGTTTTTCTCACTGTATGCAAACACTGGACTTTCCCAGCGCATATATATATTACTTGTACGTATCTAGCGATTCTCCCACGTTGACACATAACCTAACGGCAAAACAAAATAAACAAATTAGGTGTAATGAGATGGGGCCACTGGGGCTAAAAGTAAGTCTAGTCATCAGCAGTCGGTCAGCTTTTCCACACTTTTCACTTTCACGCTCCGGCGAAAATCTTCGACCCACTTGTATTCTTGATTACCGAGGCCTGCTTTCATTTTCATTGGGCAAAAAGCGAAACAGAAAAATAATGGAAGTGGATCTGGTGACAGATACAACTGGCCACTACAGGTTGCTTAACCCAATTTTCGGTATCTGTTCATCGCTGGCTTGTGGGCTTAGCCAAGCTACGCAACTGTATTTTTTTGCGAAAAACTACAACCCGATTGCATTAAGGTGGCCTAAACGCATTTTGCGGCCAGCTTTACAAAAGGCCAACAAAAAACCAGACCGAACTAAAGCAAAGCAATGCAGTGGTATGGATTGCACCTGTCAGTGGGTATCTGAAAAATGAATGTTGCATTGCTTTTTAAATCACAAAAAAAGTTAAGTACGCAGAAAATTGCACACCCTTAATCGCCAGTGAAAAATATAGTTAAATTATCTTAGATATAGGTAATGAAGAAAATTCCTGAAATTAATTTAAAGAGATGAAATGACAAATTGGCTTGTTTTTTTAAATGCAACAAATTGAATACACGCTGATACTATTTTATTTAAAGCAAAATGAAAACAACAAAGAGTTATAGAGTTTAAATTATAGCAATTCCTGTGTGTTCGAATAGGCACGCGTCTCATAATTCAATTTTAGGCCTGTCTGACTGCCATATTAAGCTTGAATAAATTGGTTTTCGCAAAAAACATACGAACATACATATATACAATGTTTGGATTTGCTGAATGGTAGGTTTGTGTTTATAATTTTGAGCAAACAGAAATTCTGAATAAATACGATGCTTTAATAATAACCCTTCTATGATTACAACGCCGCTGGCTAAAAGCGACCACCCAAAATAAATACATTGGAGCTCCATAAATCAAAGATTAAACGCTTAATTAATCTTGCTCATTCCCAAAGCGTGAAATTTAATAAATGATGAGCGAAATAAAAAGTTCGTAAAGCGTAAAACAAATAAATTAAATGGTAGAGAATAACAAAAGGAAGTGTACTGCAATTTGGCTGGATGATGTCATGCCACAGAATAGAAAGGGGAAAATCAACAAAGCCTTAAATACTTAGATAAACAAAAATAGTGGAAAAACAAAAAAATGAACTATAGAACTTGGTGAGCAACAAAAGGAACGTCATCATGATCATCACGACTATTTTTAATTCCCATATCAATGCAAGATTTTGTTTCCCACCATCAAGAAGCTAGTTGGCCAGCTGGAGGTCACATGTGTGCGGCAGTTCCAAAGAACCAGACAGAAATCCGCTGTACAACCTTCTCCATCCATACAAAATGGCACTAAACTTGACTCTAAATACTACTTATTTGCAACTTATTATTGTGCGGCTATTGATGGATACTAAACTACAAGTATCTCCCGGATACAGTTGAATAACTACTGAGAACGAGTGTATCTTCCATCTTTCAGTTGAATAAGTAACTTCAGTAATTGACACGCCAGAGCTGTTGCATAAAGTAAATTTTTGTTATATACGTGCATTACGAGAGAATGGAGAATTGCATGTGCAATCAGTGGAAAGTAGCGTAAAAATGAAAATATTGACAAGGAATAAACAGCGTAAAGTGCCTGAAGGTGACTCTGAATGGAAATTTCATGGCAATGAGAATAACAGCTCAAGCTCAAAGCCATTCGGAAATCTAAAAAATCAGGCACTTTTTATAGATTAAATTTATTACAAATGAAATCATAGCTAATCACAGTAAGCTACTATATGAATTGCCTCATTAGGATAGAATGTATATAGTTTTAGAATTTATGACACACCGACTCTTGGTGATTTTTGATTATTCCTCATTGTTTAGTATTAACTCTAATCCCCTTAAAGTTTTCGCATAATTTTCAAATCAGACTACTAGACCAACATAAATCAGCCTGTTCCCTTTTCTGGTTGAAAGAAACACTCTGCTACTCCATATGCAATTTGAAAATTCTCCGAATTTCTGACCGCCAGGTAGAACCCAAATCCAAAAGTGTTTAGCAACAAAAGCAAAAAAAAAAACAAAGTTAAAACAAAGAGCTGCAAAAAACTTTCGAGCATCGTAAATTATTTCGGAGACTCGACTCAAACTACAATTAGAACCCTCACAGAGCGGGATGGGGCTATTAGCAGACATGGGGAAAGAGCGAGATGAAGCCACGCTCATTTGAGGATTTTTAACGAGTTTCCAACTCGTTGCCGGCTAATTTTTATTAGAGCCGTAAACGGAACTTAAGATCATGTGACTTGAAATCGCAACGATAATGAAAATGAGTCGCACATAAAATTACGAAATAAAACGTCAGCTTTGAAATGGCCCGAAGGCGGAATTGGGTTAAGAACTACATGACAAACTGATTTTATTTGGGAACTTACGTTTCCGGTCGATGAAGAAATCGAAGAAGGAACTGCAAAGAGAAGAGCAAGAATACAAATATTAATACAAATTTGCCTGGCGAATTTCCTCAGAATAGGCATTTAAATCAACTGCGACTGAACTGAAAACATTTATCTTAGAGAAATTGCGCACTGTGCGAAGAATCAGCGGAAGCAATAATACTATACATAGTTCCCCATGCGAAATCAACTCAATTACTTGGTGTGTTTCTCAGACCCCAAAAAACCATAAAATGACGACATTCCCTAGACAAGTTCAAGGTGGTTCCGTTGGACTCGTTCTCCTTATTCCATTCAATTTCAATTAAATACACGAAAAATTTAAGAGTTCACTGGGAGCAAAATTGAATCGCTTGCGCTCCAACGGGCTGACCTACCGCAGTCGAAGCCTCCCCGTCCATCGCATTGCAATCTTCTGTCCGGGTATTAAATTTCCAACTCATTAAAATTTTGCACACTGTCTGGCTGAAGTGGCAGTGGACCGACAGACGGACTGTAGACGGTTAAGGGTTGTCCGGGACTCCATATCCCAGCTACGGCTCCTCCATGCCAGCTCCTTTGCCCAGCTTGCCCTGCGCTTTTCCCAGCTGGAGGGGCACAAAACTGGGATGACGGCTTGTCATTTATAAATGAAGTGCATAAAAATGCCTCCAACCGATGTGAGAAACGTGAAGAAGTCCCGACAACTTTGTGGGGAGCATTGCTCTGCATTAACCCCCACCAATAACTCATGTCTGAGCTTAATCAGAACCTTTTGACTTATCAATTAGGAGCTCTAGAGTGATTCACTTGCCTCGCTAATTGATATCAATTGTTTGGGTTCCGGAAGGTCGGCCGGCAACGGAAGTGGAATTATTTACAGAATCTTATCTTATCCGCTCGCAATCCGCGTCATATCTATATATTTATTGTAATTACGGTGCGACAAAAATATCGACTGGTTGCGTCAGTTCGGTCAGCCCACGCCGCGTAAACAATAAACAATGAATCGAATTTGGCAAAAACAAAATACAAATTGCGCCAAATTGAGTGAGAGATACCTACTCAAAAAACTCATAATTGGAGGGGTTCCTACAAAGGTCAGCCCAGCAATTGGAGAACCACTCGAACAAAACAACTGACGGAACAAAAACAAACTGGCAGAAGATATACGAGTATATGAAAGCAAAAAGCTAATGACAAAGCGCAGCAATAAAAATTAGAAGTTTGTGGCAAGATTAAACGTGTTCTCAAGTGCCCTAGGGTAGAAAGGGTATGCCTAGTTAGTACAGGAAGTTTGTAATAAGGAAGGATGGCCGGATATTATTCATAACTTTGTTGGCCAACTAGAGCAGGGAGACTGAGTGAATTAAATCAAATTATTATTTGATTAAACAATTTTCAAAAAACAATAACTAAAGGTCGGATATATAAAAAAGTATTAAAAGTTAAAATGATTTTGTTTAACTAACAAAACCTGGCCGTCCATTAAAATGTATTTTAAACAGAAATGTATTTGTTTATTGCAAGAACTTCATGATAGTCGTTTCCCTTTTCTTCAGAGAGTTTTTTCAGGTTTTCAAAGCATTTTACTTCATTTTTAACCACGACGACGACAAGCCCTTTTTTCGCTGTTGTGCGTTGTTTGGCTTGCTCTTCTGGGGCGTTTGTTTTGGGTGGGAAGCATTTAACTTGGCTAAAAGCGGCATTAGTGCGATGTATGGGGCGTGTTCCGCCCGAAGGGAAGGCAGCCAATTAATTTTTTAATGGCTTAGACGAAATGACTGACTTTGGGGCTATTACAAAAAGAAAACGACAAAAGAGCGACAGAAAAGTTTTTCTTTTTCAGTTGGAAATTGTCAATTAGTAAAGTGCCTGCCAAGAATTGGCAATCTCTAAACTCCTTCAGGACACGCCCCCGCTGCCCCATTTTTCTTTTCTTTTTTTTGTATCAGAATCTAAGTTAGTTGGGCCCAACATTTTTATGATGTTTAATCTAATTTTTATTTTACGATTTTATTTTTACGGTCGTTTGCCTAACGACCTGAGCGATGAAATAAGTTAACCGCAAAAAGATTTTGCCGCTGGCTCGGTCGGGTTTTTTTTTAGATTGTTGTGGTGCATTTTTTATTTATTTAAGAGCGGTGGTCCAGGGCTTTGGACCACAGCAATTTGTTTTGATTGAATGAAATATCAAAAACGTGACCTGGCCGTGCACTTTGAGCAATCCAGCAAACCGAAAAGGAACAAATATATAATTCAGCGAAAGAGAGAGGCATAGAGCGTTCGAAAGAGATGGACGCAGGACCGTGCTCACCGCCTAAATGAAATGCATGCAAATTGAGCGTGAACAACCGCTCAACCGCTCTAACCCGCAAGCACGTGCGGGTGATTGAGCTGGTGGAGAGATAGAGAGAGAGAGATGGCTGTAGGGCGACCGAAAGAGAGGGCATGAATGTAAGAAGGAGATGGCTGGGGGCAGAGATAATTCTATCTGGCTGGGCGAGACTGATGTTCATTGCCCGATAAGTGTTCAATGATTAGTAATCTCAATATATTTCGCCAGCATCTCGATAACTCACTTCTCACCAACTCTTTCTGCATGTCTTCCTTTCACTCCTAATCGTGTTCAAGTGGCCAGTTAATCCTGGCAACTTCCTGTGCCAAGGAGTTAAGACCCATGTGTGCGTAAGAGCGTTTTTAGTAGCTGGTTTGAATACTTCATCAGATTCATGACTTTTACATGCATTGCACTTCCGTGAGTGCTTCTACTTGCAACGAGGGTTGATAGAGGAGTTGGAATGAAGTAGCAATTGATTGGTTGAGCAAAAATTCTTCATTGTATATTTACCACAAATAATCACGTAAATTGCAATTTATTTTTGGCACACAAATATCAATGCTACCACCGTTTAAACTTTTACTTTACTATAGTTTACATTCCTAGGCTAACGAATCTCCCTCTATAGTATTTACTTGCGAGCACCCACTGAAATCTGATCATTTATCTCACCGAGACTTGAACAAAAATCTCTCGGGTTTATCGGCGATAATCTACATCCTTTGCTTGTTCTCTGAAAATGTATTCATCTCCAGCGATGATAACTTTATTGAACCTCCCACGCCGCCGGTTCCCTCCTTTTTGCTAAGCTCTCTTGGAACGCTTTTGCCAACGCCATAACTTTGCCCTAACACCCGCTACATAGCCACGTCTACTCTTTTCCCCCTCCAAGCCCCCCTCTTTTGGGTTTGACCCATCTGTGTTGGCCACATTGTTTGCTCCTCCATCGCTATTTTTTCATGTTTTTGGATGCACAGAGCAAATTAAGCGGAAATGTAACCTTTTGCCAAGGTTTCTGGTTGAAAAAGAATTCTGTATAAAAAGGGAGGTTTTATGTATGCCATGTATTACAAAAATACAAATTCAAATCTGAAATGTTTTTATCCATTTAACATTTTTAAACGACTGCTTTTAAGGATCCTAATATTTTTCTCTGTGTACATCTCCTGCGGGTCTCGGCTGCGGTCACACACAACAGCGAACGAAATCTTTACCGCTGCCACAATTGGCAGCCAGTTGGAAGTCCGGGAGCGGTTCCAAAGGGGCAGCGGGGAGTCGCGGTTTTGGGGCTCGGAGTACTAGAGAATACCAGAGGAGCGGAGAACCGGAGACCCGGAGGCGGAGCAGCTGGAGGAGGCCACTTGGTCGCGACCACAGAAGTGACTTAACTCGTTTTAAGCCTTCTCATATGCTTGGCGTTTTTTGTCTCCGTCTCTCTGTTGCCTGGCATCTATTTCATTTCAAACTCCACTAGACATGCCACAACGATGACACTTGACTGAATATTTATGGCCACAAATGGAGCGAAAATAAAATCGCCAAGTCACGGGGCCAGAGACTGAAAAAATATAACAGTTGAGCAGAAAAAAGCGGACACACATGGCGATGATTTTTAGATGCGGATGGGCTGCTGCTCCATGTCCGTGGACGCCATGCCCTTCTTTGGGGCGGGCCTTAACCGTTAGTCCGGCCGACTAAAGCGGCTACCACAGTCTTATAAGACCCGTCTGCATCCGACTCTGAATCGGGATCTGAGTTCGGTTTCCAAGCTCAGTTCTTACACAGAACAAAATATTAGTCTTATTAGGTGTGAAATAATCCTATATTCTTCAGAAGCGGAGCTAATCTCAATGTATAGATTGTCCTGTAGCTTGAAATTGTATTTTTGCCTTATTCCAAGCAAAAATGTATTTTGTGCGCCCAAATTGGCCTGTTTATTGCTATTCCTAGTTCACTTTTGGCGATCTCTATCTTTATCTGCTGTTATATGGCGACACATGAAAGTCTGCTCTCGTTGAGTCTCAAATATTTGCGCTTATACATACATGTAAGTCGCTTTTGTTTTATCAGCTTGTTTATTCAGTGATTATAGATTTGTTTTTTCTTTTTTCTAGTCTGTGTACAAGCTGAGTCGACAAAAGCGGGTTCGACTACTGTGTTTGGTTAGGTTTTCGGGTTGCCAGGAGAGTATACAGTCGAGTACTTTTGCTTTAAGCCTATCTGTATGACCGTCATGTACTTGCCGGCAAACATGTAATGAAGCATAAGCAATTATGATAATGTCGTTTGAGTTTGTGTTCCGCCTTTGCGGCTGCTTCGCTGCTTATCAGCAGTTGGGTGGTGACTGGGCGGTGAAAGACTCTGGCAGCCTCGAAAATGTTGACAGAAATGAAAAAACAAGAAAAACGCGAGAGGAAAGGAATGCTGGCTGATTAAAGCCGAAAATAAATACGCTGTCGGCGACCCCAAGAAAGGTCAGAAGGGAGGGGGCTTCGAAAATATGTTAAGGTCACCAGGGTTTTCAATTTAGCAAAAGTTTAGCAGCACATGCGAATAAGCTTGAAAAGTATAAATATAACAAACGAAATGGAATTTCAATGGAAGTTGCTTCCCTAAGTATATTATGAAATATTTTTAAAGTAATATTAGCATGGCCCATTTTTGTGGTAAATACAATTTGCTTAGAATTAT